TATTTATGTATTTATTTATTTATTTTTCTGCATTTTAAGGAATGATCTACAGTGTGCTCAGAGTCTCAATGCTAGATTGTACTCATAGTGATTCTCTTTTTTACAGCCTCCCAAATACTGGGATTACAGGTGCGTGTCACCACGCCCATTCTGAATTGCCATCTAACCTCCGACCTCTGTGCCTGCTTGCAGGCTCTTTAATCCACTGACTTCCTTCTTTCCTGCCTTAAATTAAATCACTTAATTTTTGTTTTTCCTTTCCATTTTATAGTTGGGGAAACTGAAGCTACTATGCTCGGTAACAGCATTCATGCTCAGTACTATAGACTTTATCACTCGAAATGCTGATCAAGTTCAGATAATTGTACTTAACAATATCTTTCATCTTTACAGACTTGGTTTACTTGAATTTATATAGAACAAGAAAAGGACAATAATGCATATGAAAGAAAATTGGACAAGTTTCCTTTTCAGAATTGTTGGCAAGAGAGATAACCTGTTCTTCACATCAGAGGAAGCCTTCCATCTGAGTCAGGTTATTCCGGTTCATACTTAGCATCAATTTTTCTTTTAGCAGTCATAGAGAATGAAGGAATTCTACCAAACATCTGGAAATGCATACCACCAGCAAATTTCGTACTGTATTTCCTGTATATGTCTGCATTTCCTCATGGATCCTGGGCTCCTCCTCTGTGCATGACTTCGCTGTACTGAAGTATGGAGAGGATTAATGAAACCATGGTTAGAGAGTTTGTCTTTCTGGGCTTCTCAACTCTGGCCAGCCTCCAGAGGCTGCTTTTCGTTGTCTTTCTGCTCGTCTACCTTTTCACTCTGGGCACCAATGCCATTATTATTTCCACCATTGTGCTGGACAGAGCCCTTCACACCCCCATGTACTTCTTCCTGTCTGTTCTGTCCTGCTCTGAGACTTGCTACACATTTGTGATTGTGCCCAAGATGCTGGTTGACTTGTTGGCTGAGAAAAAGACTATCTCCTTCCTGGGCTGTGCCATCCAGATGTTCACTTTCCTCTTTCTCGGCTGCTCTCACTCCTTCCTGCTGGTAGCCATGGGCTATGATCGCTACGTGGCCATCTGTAAACCCTTGCACTACACAGTGCTCATGGGACATGGTGTATGCGTAGGACTAGTATTTGTTGCCTGTGTCTGTGGCTTCACTGCCTCTGTGGTCACCACCTCCCTGGTATTTCACTTGCCCTTCCACTCTTCCAACCAGCTCCATCACTTTTTCTGTGATATCTCCCCTGTCCTCAAACTAGCATCTTACCACTCCCGCCTCAGTCAGTTGGTCATATTCATGCTTGGTGTATTTGTCTTAGTGATTCCACTGATACTTATCCTGATCTCCTATGTCTACATTATCTCGGCCATTCTAAAAATTACATCCTCTGTTGGAAGATACAAGGCATTCTCCACCTGTGCCTCCCATCTCATCGTGGTCATTGTTCACTATGGTTGTGCATCTTTTATCTACTTAAGGCCCAAGACCAATTATTCTTCAAGTCAAGACACTCTAATATCTGTATCTTACACCATCCTCACCCCATTGTTCAATCCCCTGATTTATAGTCTGAGAAATAAGGAATTCAAGTCAGCCCTTCAGAGAACACTGGGACAGACTTCATCTTCTATTAATTAAATCACCAAATTTATCTGAAGGAACATTACATGCAGGGGTCAGAAGAGAGAAGCTTGGGGGCTGGGGAGATGGCTCAGTGGAATAAGCGCTTCCCTGGGAAGTGCAAGGGCCTGAGTTCAATCCCCAGTTTCACAGAGAGAGAGAGAGAGAGAGAGAGAGAGAGAGAGAGAGAGAGAGAGAGAAGCTTGAAAGACACCAAATGTAGATTGGATAGTGTGGAGCTGGTTGTTAAAAGGAATTGATGTTTAATGTCTAATCTGAGAGGTTAATGAGAGTCACCAGCTAAAAGATATCATCTGATAATGTTCTATTTGAGAAAAGCAACATATAGGTAACTAGAGACAACCAAGATCTCGATGTTTTAGAAGAAAACAAAGAATATTGTCTAACGTCTTTATATTTTTAATTGACAAATAATAAATTCTATGTATTTACTGTGTATCACACAATGTTTTTCTGTAAGAATGCATTATGCCTAGGCTAAGTCAATCTAATTGCCATGTATAGTCCCTGGAATACATACTTAATGTACGATGAAAACACCTGGAATCTATTGTCAGTTTTCAACATTTATTTATTTGGTACCGGCGCTCACCATACAGCTCAGACTCATAGTGATCCTTCTGCCTCAGCCTGCTCAGCTCTGGGATTACTGGTGTACACCAACACACCTGGCTGCATGTCAGCACAGCATGCAGTACTGGGGACTGAATTTGGGTCCTGTGCTTGCCAGGCAGGCACTTAGTCAGCCATACTATCTCTCCACCCTTCTTTGTTGGTAAATACGTTATGATGGTGTGTATTACATAGTCTTCTGTGCCGTCTGACCATCATTTCTTCAAACTGCCTAAAACTCTTTTGCCACCCAAAGCTTTCTATTATTATTCTATTTTTGCTTCTATTTCTTCACTGCTTAAAATTCCACTTCTTTCAAGAATTGAAATCCTAGATTCCAGTTAGCTTTATATTTTGGATGTGATCTCTTTAAATTATGCATAGTTAACAAGTGCATGTTCCTATTCCATAGGTCAGCTCTTTGCTGTGGTTATTGTTCCTTTGGTCTGTGTTTTGTAAGTTTTATAATCTCATCTATCTAGTTTTATCGTTTTTCCTTCTGCTGTGGGGCACATCTGTCTTTTCTTACCTTTCTCTTCAATGAGTTCAAATTTCATGATGCCTTGAATTTGTATGTTAAGCACGAGTTTGTCAGTTCCGTTCCCTGTAGAGTTCCTCGCATGACCAAGCTGCCTGCCTTGCGAACAGCCTTCTTATCTGTCCACTTTCTGTCCTCCAGTTTGCTTTTCCATCTTTACCCTGAAACAGGTGATGATTATTCATGTCCTCACTGGCAGTCAGGATATATATATATATATATATATATATATATATATATATATATAACCTTTATCTGTTCTTTTATTAAATCTTTTTTTACACCTTATATCAGCCATCACATTCTAATGGTTCTACTGCTTGAAATTCTTCTGTCACATTCCACTTCCATTTGCAGGGTGTAATCCTGTGTTTTTGGATCACTGCAAGAGTACGAAGTCCAGAGATCTCAAACCCATTCACACTGTTGACAGGGAGGTTTTACGGTTGCTGTGAAGTCTAAATTAGAGAACATGATAAGTACATGCAATGTGTAGTCTATCCTCAACACTAATGATCTATTACTCTTTGTATTCATCATTATCTAAAATAAAAGTATCAAGAAACATTTTAGTTTACAAAATCTTAAATAGTTTCTAACAGATATGAAGGTAAACTACGTTTTAATTAAAATTTATACTAAAGTATTACTGTCTGAATTTTTGTATTGTTTGATTTTTCCTGAATTTTGTATTTTACTGAAACTTATTTGTTTTTTAAGTATTTTGTTTTTGCAGTGTCTCACTGTGCAGCTCAGACTCATGGTGATCCTCCTGCTTTCAGCCTCCCCAGTGCTGGATTACAGGTGTGTGCCACTAAGCCCATACTCTGGCTGCCTGAGGCAGCCCTAGGGACTGGGCTGGTGTAGCATTTGGTGCTGGGGATCTAACTATGGTCCCTATGTTTGCCTAAGCTTGTCTAAGCAGGCACTTTAGTCACTGAGCTATCTCAATACCTCTGAAATTTATTTACTCTTATTTATTTTGCTACACACCATTCATATTTATTTCAAAACTTCATTCAAGCATAACTTTCTCCATGAAGTTGTTCTCTACAATCTCACTCAGGATTATTCTCTACATGTCACCCTAGTGATGTAAACAGTAATCTTCCCTTCTTCACTAGCATCACAGGACTCTGAAGCGAGTGCCTTGCATTTTGCCTCCAATTAGTATCACATGATAATACCGATTAAGCTAGTGATACCAGTGTTGGTTACTAGAAAAAAGATGGTATAGGTTTTTAGCTGGCCAGACCATACAGTAGAGGGACAATGACCATCTTTTTGAGGAGTGAAGTGGTAAGTCCTCTGTGGCTGGTTTGAAATTTTTCAGAGAATGAAAGGAGGACGTGTAATACACTGAGAATGTGCCAGCTGTGGCACATTACTTAAACATATTTCATAAAGGTTTTATATTTTGAATTGGAGACTGGACACTTGTATTCTTCTACACAGCAGACCTATGTTTTAAGGAATGTGAAACTCTCTCTCTTTGAGATTCAGCCTTTTGAATTTCAGAATGGATTTAGTTTCTGAACATAGAGAATATCAGTTGTGTGACCTTGCATCATGTGAATGCAACACAATTTATGACAGAAACTAGAAACTAGATACATGCTTCTGAATGTAAAAAATGCATATATGATGCTTCTGCGTTCTGCAAATGAGTACTGCCATGGATGTCCCAGCTCCCAGTTTTGCTCTTTGCTGTTATCCCAGGATCTGGTGGGCCTTATCATTCAGTTTATCTGCCCATTCTCAAAGTCTATTTCTCCCCTTGAAATACAGTTTATAGCTTATGAGTCAAAGAGCAAAGACGTTGTTGCTTCTAACCCGAGGATAAAAAAAGCAGAAACTATAGGAAAAAGACAAAAGAAGAGGTTTATCAGTTCCTTTTTCATGATGTCATGAGGGAGGGAGTCTTATCTGTATGGAGTCTAAGACAGGGAAAGAAAGACTTTCATGAATCTGGTCTATGCTTTATTATTTGTTAGAAGAGACTTGAAGTCCATTCACCCAAGGGATTTTGGATGTTAATTGAAAAGAGGATGCATTCGTGTCAGAAGCACTATAGTAGTGCCTCTCCAGGGTACAGGATAATACTAATTAAGCCAGTGATACTAATGCTGGTAACTAGAAAAAAGATGGTATAGGATTTTTCCTGGCCAGGCCATACAGTAGAGGGACAATGACCATCTTTTTGAGGAGTGAAGTGGTAAGTCCTCTGTTGCTGGTTTAACATTTTTCAGAGAATGAGAGGAAGGCATGTAACACACAGAATGTGGCAGCTGTGGCACATCACTTAAACATACTCACAAAGGTTTTAAACTTTGAATTGGAGACTGGACAGTTGTATTCTTCTACACAGCTGACCTATGTTTTGAGAAATGTGAAACTCTCTCATTTTGAAATTCAGTCTTCTAAATTTCAGAAATGGATTGAAGAAACTAAATGATCTGATATCTTTGGAATATTTTAAGGCTATCTTTAAGATAATAACAGTTACAAATTTCCACTTAAGTTTCATTCCAAAATTGTTGAGATCTTTTAAAAACTAAGTGTACCAATAAATGGTAATGAAGAATTGGATGTAAAATGATGGGTAAGAACCTGGAGGAGTAGCCAAGAACATATCCAGCTTGTGGCCTTAACAGCAAGATTTTGATAACAGAATGATTATAGAGCCTGTTTTTATAATTGACAAGAAAGCAAGCAAGCAAAGAAGGAAGGAAGGTAACCAGGAAATAGCAAAGGAAGGGAGGAAAAAGCCAGAGAAATATTTTGTTTATTTTTTATAATTATTTGCTATATTTTTATATATGCTATTTCTTAATCCTCATAATTTTTAAACTCTTAAAAAAGAAAATTAAAATTTTGGAAGCTTAAATAACATGCTTTGGTAAAATTCTCAATGTAAATTGTGAATTTATGGGGTTTTGCTCCACGTATTTTCTTCTGTATCTATCATCTATCTACCTATTCAGTATAAGTATGCATCATGTTATGGCTATATTTATATTTTTATATATGTAGATAGATGGATAGATAGATAGATTATATATTACATTGATTATAGATTATTTACATAATTATCTGTTGTGTTCACTAGAAGTATCTTTACAGCTACATGAAAGTATATATAAATCAATTGAAATTATTTTTCATGTATTAATTTATTTAGTTAATGATATTGCAATGTATACTTTGAATATTTTAATTTCCTAGGAACTCTGATATTGTCTGTGAGGTTAGAAAAATATGCATGATTAAATTGTGCATGGCACATGAATTTTTCTCAAATAACAATCTTCTCTTTGTTTTGTAAGTTTTCAAATTATATTGTGCAAAAAGGATCATTGCCTAGATTGCTGTAAAATATGAGAATTTGTATAACTAATGTTTCATGAGGACAGTTTTGTTTTTTTTAAGTTCAATGATGTGTTGCAAATCCCTAATGAAGTCTCAGGGATTTACAGTGTACCCAATAATTATATGCGAAATTGACTGAGTCAGAATATAATTTGGGAAAAGATAATTTGAAAGATAAGAACATCTGTGCAAATACATTGAAAGACATTATTTCTTCTGACATGACCTTCTATATGCTCAATGAACTACATGAGTTTCCATCTGATTAAACGTTGAAATTAGATCTGGGAGCTAAAAGAGATGAGTTTGGGGTGTTGTAGGAAGCCAAATTATTAATTTATTTATTTATTTATTTATTTATTTATTTATTGGAACCAGGGATTGAACTCAGGCCCTTGCGCTTGCCAGGGAAGCACTTATTCCACTGAGCCATCTCCCTGGCCCTTATGGAAGCCAAATTATTAACAGTTTTTCTTTTGTTCTCTATCTCTGTCTCTTTGCTCTTTTTCTTTTTGTTCTCTCTCTCTCTCTCTCTCTCTCTCTCTCTCTCTCTCTCTCTCTCTCTCTTCCCCCTCCCTCCCTCTTTCTTTCTTTCCTTCTTTCCTTCCCCTACTCTTTTTCTTTTGGCTAAGAAATTTGACGGGTTATAAAGCTTTCAGCTCATTATAGGATTTTGTGTAAGAAGGTACTTGACTAAATGCATATTTTGAACATCTCTAAGGTTGTCTTTCATCACTTGAAGCATTTCTATACACACACTACACTTTTCATTTTCTTCATCTCTTTTGACCTTCTGCAAACTGTTCCCACATACACCAAGTCATGTCTTTGCATATCTCCTTTATTCAGAGTCCCAAATGACTCTGTACAATAATCTCCTCTAATCCACTTCTGAAGCCAAGATGAGTGTAGGTTAAAAAAATCTGCAGTTTCCTGTCTTAAGTGAATCTGTCTCTCCTATTTCTATTTTACCCTGAGAATGAAAGAGGAAAGACAAATATGGCACACAGAGAGTCACAAGATATTTACTTTTTTTTTCAGAAATGCTGATCCTCTTCAGATTTAATAGGATCTTTCTCAAATAATCATTAGTGAAAAAAAAATCACCAAATATGGGAATGAAGGGGCCTGAAAAAGTAAAGAAAGTTAATTTGTTGATAAGATTGGTGATTTGATCATTTAGCTTATTACTTTATAAATCCTATACCTGCACCTCTATTTACTTGCACTTTTATGTTTTGTGCCTCCTATTTCTAATTTAAAACCTTATGCATAATCTGTTGTTGTAAGTTTTAGTTAATTTTTTCATCAATTCATGAATTTATTGTTTATAGTAATTATACTACTTTTGGCAGTTTTCCATTTGTTGTTTGCTTTCTGAAATTTCTGTTTGTATTTTTTGTTGTGAATAAATATTTTATTTTGTAGTCAGTTTTTTATTTATTATTCTGATATCTCTTCATGTTCAGTGTTCAGATTTTCAATGCATTAATAACTTTTTTAAATTCCAAAATGTTTTCAATTTTCCTAAAATATAAAAGATCTTTGAGGATTATGTAATTTTAAATTTAAATTGACTTTTTATATCTATTAAAATGTTTTATCCTGAGTCAATATTGTAACCGTAAACTATTTGGCTGATGTTGAGATATTTTACATTATAAAAATTTTATTAAAATTTTTATATCAATAATTGTGCTACAAATTTTAATCAAATCTCTGCTTTAAATTTAGCCATTTATTAAATATGCAGGGTGTAATTATATCAATTACACTTTGCATATTTGAATACTGTTATCAGTTTCTTCTACATTTGCTCTTTGACTAACACATTCAAAATTTCTTTGGTAGATTTTTTTATTGTATTATATATTTATAGCTTATTGCAGTCAAGATTAAGGACTATTGTTTGCATACTTTCCTCTTTGTGACACTTGTGGAAGTTCTGGTGTGACTTCTAAGTCTTCAGCATAGTATGTGAATGTTGCTGTTTAGGTCTGAACTCTTTCATTCTATTTTTTTCTTTATCTCTTCTAAACAGGTGTATACTTATGGTATCCACTAGTAGTGTCTGTTTTTTCTTCTTTGTATATATTTTATATTACCTGTTTTATAAATGTTGCACCAATATTTTTGAGGGTGCATAATAGACAACAATTTCATTGTGAATTATATTAGCATTAAAGTCTATTTTGTTATTATCTATTGTTCACTTATTGGCTCTGGGCTAAATTTTAAAGCATTGAATATCAAGACCATGACTGTTGTTAAGCTGGTTTTTCTATGTTTTTCATAGTTTCCACTCCTCTCAATTTTTCAGCTATTTTGAATCACTTTTGTGTTATATAATGAATACAGTAAATTTTTGCTTTGAAAGCACTTCTGTTTTTTTTTTCTTTAGTCTTCTATTTTGATATTTACTGTTTGTTTTATCTAAGTTTCAGTTATTATTTAGGCAGCAATAAGAAAGCATTTTTATCATTTCTTTCTTCACTCTTTTTAATGTGCAATTGTTACTTTGTCAAGAACATAATATGTACGTAGTATTTTTTAACTCATTCTCATTTACTTTGGGCTTGGATTTACAGGTAAGTACATTTATTAAATTGGTGAATTTATGGCTTTAGATGTTATTTATTGTTTACTTTATTTATTATATAGTAGCTGTATTAATCTACTACCAATACTTTCCTTGGAAAGTCCACCATACATCCCATTGACTGGATCTCTTTATCTAGGTAACTCATCCAAGAAAAGATATTAATATTCCTATTTGTTTTATAGTTAAAAGTAGTAGTCTATGCATGTAGTTTCATGGTCAGAACCTTTTTCTTGAATTTCTTGAATAACTCGACAAGTTATTTTATTTTAGGGAAGGGTCTACAGGGTGTTCAAGATCTCACTACTAGGTCAGACTCGTAGTGATCCTCCTGTTTACAGCCTCCCAAAAGCTGGGATTACAGGTGCGTACCACCACACACAGTCTCAATTGCCATCCCAGCATGCCCTGGAGGCTGGGCTGGTATGGCAGGCCTGGGGATTGAACCCCAGGCTCCTGTGCCTGCCAGCAGTCACTTTAATCCGCTGAGCTATTTGGCCAGCCCAACTCAATGCTCTTATTATACATTATATATTGCTCCCATGTTAAACAATTTTGTTTTTATTGTTAGTTACTAGCATTTTTGGTGAAAGTTACAGACCCTTTTTCATAGTTTGAATAATTTGACTGGACATATCTTTGATGACTTTTTTTGGTCAATGTTGAAAAATATTTTGAAACTCATGAGTGTGGAGTAGATGACAAGATAATTTACCATTTTCATGTACAGACATAGTTCGTTCATTAGAGGGAATTTTTCCTAATAGTTTACAATAGCAGATTTGCTTATTACTCCATTAAAACCATATTAAATGTCCCTGTGTTTTTTCTATGACAGTCACTTTTTAATGTGTTAAATGTACATATACCTTTTGCTTAATTATATTTCCTCAGTCTCAGTAACATTTGCTTCTGTGTATGTCTACTTTTAGGTTATTTTTCTGTCATTTTTTAAATTGAAGTGTCATATTTAACTCTATTAAATAAAGCTTGATTCAACTCTATTAAATATGGTAGCTGCCCTTCATGTTAGTTTCAAGGGTCTTACTTCCTATAGCTTTAGTCTTTTTATTTCTTTTTATTTTAGTCAAAGGTTTATTTTTCCAACAATACTTGTTAACAGATACAAAGACTTTAAGATATTCTTTATGTCTACCTATTAAAACCTGAGGTCAGCTTTAAAAGGTAATACTACTGTATGGAAATGTACATAGCTAAAAGATATACTTATTGTCTCTAATAAGTTT